CCCCCCCCCCCCATTTGGATGAGTATCGCAAATGACGGAAGATTCCATACTCCGTGCTGATTATGACTGTGTTCTCGATGGTGGAGACGATTCGTACGCCGACGGATGGCTCCAAAGGAAGCCGTGTGCACCACCTTCTCAACCATGCCACGTAAAAAGACGCAAATGANTCTCGATGGTGGAGACGATTCGTACGCCGACGGATGGCTCCAAAGGAAGCCGTGTGCACCACCTTCTCAACCATGCCACGTAAAAAGACGCAAATGATTTCATGCTTGCCCGCGTGGCACCATATACCACTTACGCCAGAGTGCGACAAAAACCCAAAAACAAGAAGCAGATCAAATCTGAGCTACCTCGCGAATCGCCTCCTTCATGATACCAAGTTCTCGCTGAGTATTTTTTACCGTTATACCTCGTGGTCCTCTTCGGGATGTTATCGCCCGCAACCGCGCCACGAGGAGCGGTGTACAGACCCTGCATCCTGTTTCCCACCTGCCCTGCCTGGCTACCTAGTATAACAATGCTCAATGGAAATTTATCCCCACGCACTGACGCTTGACACTGAGGGGTGGCAACGCCGTGCCTTGAATCTACGTGTGGCTAATGTTCGCGGAACGGAGCGCTGTCTGCTTGATAGATGGCTTGGTCTCGATCTCCTCCACGCGTTGATAGGGCTCCTGTTGTTTTGCTCGAGGCTTCTACTGTTGTTCCGGTGGCGGCTGCCGGTGCCTTCGCTTGCGCTCTTCGTTAGCACTAGAAGCTCGCGCTCTCTCGAGCTCGAGAGTTCGTTTGATAGAACCGACAACGGTCGGAGGGTTGATTAGTGTCAAAGCGTCCGAGGGCGGCACTGGTTGTTGTGCGACACGTACACGTTTTCCAACTCCCTACGATTCTAGACCGGCGCTCTCCCCCCCCCCCAACCTGTTTCGGCTATCGGGACAGCAGGTCGCTTGAGTACCCCCGATAAAGCCATGGGATCGAACCCCTTCCTTTTTCCTAAGAAGAATTGAAACACGCCACAAACCCCTGTATCGATGTCCCACAGAGCATGCTCGGTAAACAGCGAAACACCCTGGAAAAAAGTGGAGCACTCCGCCGTGCGAAACTCTTCTTTCGACCTTGCTCAAGTGACAACTGGGTTCCATCCTGGTATTAGACTCGCACGTTTTTTTCCGGCAAGTACCCGAGGAAAGCTCCATCCTGCTTGTTGTTGTACCTGTCGAAAAATCATGGGTGGGGAAATTCTTAGTTTTCTACTTTCAAATTGTGTATTAAATTGTCTACAAAAAACACTGAAGAATCAAACAACTCCACGCACCTAGACATGGCCGCCAAGAGCACCCGAAGGGTCGCTGCCCTCCGCTTCAGAAGCGGGACCATGCGAGCGATCGATGTTGATTTCTTCCGGGACACACGCTCTGCAGAACGACCGGTGTCAATTGGCCACGTCCAGGACACCGAGTGAACTGCCTCCTCCTGTTGCAGCAAGCGGATGACACCCTTCAGCCCCCGCACCATCTCGCGGTGGACTTTCATTGTACTAAATCTGCGAACATAAGATGTAGCCAAATCCAGGGGCGTGCCGATGAACCCTTCGTCTTCTTCCCCCTCATCACTGTCGCACGGAAACCGGACGCCCGATGTCGCGTCCGCCCCGGCTTCGAGTAGCAAGCGCGCGAATCTGGGAGCATGAAAGCTTCCCAGATTGAATGTGCTCACCAGCGGTGTTTCTTGGAACACGAATTCTTCATAGGTTTCCGGGAGAGTACCGTGGTCCATATTGACGTAGGCACGCGTACCTGTGTTGGCATTTCCCCCCTGTCTCCTCAGCAGAAGGTACACGCACGCCTCGCTACATCCCTCAATGGCGGCACACAGGGCCACGCCCTCCGTGTCAACCACACCGGCATTGCACAGGAAGGCGACGATGTCCACGTGTTTGCGAGAAGCGGCCGTTGCGAGAGCCAGTGCACCGCCGTCGCTTGTACAGCGATCGGTTCCGTACCAATGCACGAGCTCGCGGACCACTTCCAGATGTCCGTGGTAGACCGCCATTCCTAGCGGGAGGCTGCCGTACGCTGACAAGAGCGGATTCGCGTTCGCCCGAAGGAGAACTCTGACCGCTTCCAGCCGCCCGTCGCTTGCCGATAAAAACAGAGGTGTTGCTCCGTCGTCGAGCCTGCTGTCCACATCCGCGCCTGCGTCGATCAGCACCACTATTCCTTGGCAAAACCCTTTCGTCGCGGCCACGTGAAGTGGTGTATCTATGCCACCAGGCCTCGCTTCAAGGTCCGCTCCCGCCTCGATCAGGTCTTTGCTCACGGCCAGGTGTTTGTGATAAACCGCGTGGTGCAGAGCAGTATAACCGTCGCTGTCCGCTACCGAGACGCTGGCACCCTGCCGCAGAAGGTCTCTGACAACGCGTGAGGAACCGATGACGGAGGCTACCATCAGCGGTGTCTGGTTCGTACCACCACAGCGTCGGTCGATGTCGGTCGTAGCAATGGTAGGATCGGCGGAACCGCTGGCTTTGCTCAGAGTTGATGGCATGTCGGGGGGAGTGCCTCTTGTCTCTTTGTTGAGTCTCTATAGTTGTCTGTGAACAATGGCGACACATTTATTTTTCCCTCCTCCTCCTGGTACTCCTCCCTACCGATAGTGTCGAGCCTGCCAGCGATGCCCTTCCGTTTAGTTTCCCTAGCCTTTTCTTGGTTAGCTCAAAAAAGAAAGAGGCAAAGAGCGGGGATTGTGCTGTAATATGTGTTTTGTTTGGCGCGCGCGCCGCTCCTCCTGTCGTTCAGAAAACCAGTTTTTTTCAAAATTGGAGCGACAGAGAGGAACGATCAATCAGCGATGTGTTTCGCACGCTCGTGTCGTTGAACAAGCCACTCAATTTCTAAATGGGAGAAGAAGGAGTACACGTCGGCAGCGCCGCATCTGTTTGACAAGAAAACCAGTTCTTTCAAAAATGGAGGGCGGGAGGTTCAAACCAAACAGCAACGTACACGTACATTTTGTTTTGGCGAGCGCGTGTCGGTGCTTCCCCTGTCGTTCAGCAAACCAGTTGTTTCAATCTTTGGGAGAGGCTTTGTCGCGGCGGCATCGACGAACGAGCGCCGCTACCCAGGGTCAACGTGTGACACGTCGGCCACAGCAGAAACGACAGCCAGTGCGATTTCAGTCAGTGCAACGACCCTACCGCCACCCAAAGCAGCAGTGTTTCCCCCTATATTCTTAAAACATACGGTTCTGAATCTTCACTGTATCGCCCAGGAAGCGTATCGCCTCAAAGGTTGTAAGCACGATGCCCACTTCGTCTTGGAGTTGCTCGCGGATGTACATCCTATTTTGGCTACCATGTCCCATTCGATCTCCCAACCATAGAGCACACAGAGCAAGCTTGGCCAATGGCGAAACACCCAAGAGAGTATGATGCACTGACGCGGAACTCTTCACCAATACGACCGAGCAGCAGTAGCTTCGCCCGCGGCAGCCTCCTTCGTTTGTACCCCTGCCCACGTACAGCAGCTACGGTCGCTGTCCTATTCCCCATTCTTATCCGGAGAGTACCCCAGGAACAGTCCGTCTTGCTTGTTGTTGTACCTGTCGAGAAGAGGCGGGTGGAGAATATGTTTTAGCTAAAGTATTCAATAACCTTGCCTACAATCGCACCCGACGAACGAAAACAACACCACGCACCTGGACAGGGCCGCCAAGAGCACGCGAGGCTTCGTCGCCCTGCGCTTCAGACCCGGCAGCATGCGAACGATCGGCGTTGATTTCTCGAGCGCGCTCGGCCAACACCAGGAGGTCGCGTGAACTGCATCCACCTGCTTCAGCAAGCGTATGACACCCTTCAGCCCGAACTCCACGTCTTCCGAAGCATCCCATTCGGTCTCCCACAAAGGTAGAATCGATTCGGCGATCGCCAAGGGCGTATCGTGCATTACACAATCTCCTTCGATTCCTTCATACCGAACGCGCGATGCCACGTCCGCGCCGGCGTCAAGGAGCAAGCGCGTGATTCTGGGCGAATAGAAGCCCCCCAGCTCAAATGCGCTCACAAGAGGGGTGTCTTGGAAAAGTTGGTTTGAGTACATGGGCAAGGTACTGTCGTGGGCCATGTTGGCGTATGCACGCGTACTGGTATTCGCAAGAAGGAGCTTGATACACTCCTCACGCCGACCTTCAACGGCAGCGCACAGTGCAATGCCCTCCGCGTCAACCGCACCGTTGTCAAACAGAAAAGTGACGATATCTGCTTGATTCTGAGAAGCGGCCTCCACGAGAGCTGTGCTCCACCGTCACGAGAACAACCGTCGATTCCGAATCGCTGTACTAGTTCGCGGACAACTTCCAGGTGTCCGTTTTCAGCAGCCGCGTCGAGCGGGAGGCTTTCGCCGTCGTATGCAGGCAAGAGCGGATTCACCTTCGCCCCAACGAGAATCCTGACATCTTCAAGTCTCCCTTGTCGTGCCGAAATGTACAGGGGTGTCGCTCGGCCTTCTTGCTCACTATCGACATTCGCACCCGCGTGGATCAGCATCACCATTCCTTTGTGGAATCCTTTCGCCGCGGCCACGTGAAGCGGCGTACCGTCTACACCACGCGCTTCAACGCCCGCTCCGGCCTTGACTAGAGCCTTGCTGACGGCCAGGTGTTTGTTGACAATCGACAGGTGTAGAGCCGTCGCACCGTCATTGTCCGCCACCGACACTCTGGCTCCGAGTCTCAAAAGGACCCTTACGACCCGCAAGTATCCCATGGTGAAGGCCGCCATAAGCGGGGTCCGGCCCACATCACCATAGCCTCCGTCGATGTCTACCGACCCTTGAGAAAGCACGGCAACCGTGCGCTCGACGGAACCACTGGCTGGGGCATGATACAGTTTGCTCAGAGTTGACGGCATGTTGGGAACTGAAACAAGTGTTCGGAGCGCTGTCTGTTGTTTCCTGTACGTAATGGCAATACACCTAACTGGCATTAAGATTAGCTTCTCTTTGGTAACCTTAGCCTTGTTTTTTTTGGCTGAGACAAGAGCGTTGTCTGCAAATGTAACTGTTGTTGTTTTGTGGCACTACCCTGCAAGGTGTCTGCCTTGTGCTTCGCGGCCGAAGCGGCCTTTGACTTATTTGCCGTAAGTTCAGAAGGCGACGTCGCCGTCCGTTTTGTATCCCTCGCCGGACTCCTCCTCACAACGATATACCTAGTTTTTGCCGCGGCAGCTACGATTCCCGCTCTCTTTATGACGGCGGTCGCTCTGAGTTTCGAGTTCTTCACAGTCTTTCCTTGGCGGCAGCGTCGACAGCCGCCTTCTTGGTCGTTTCTTTCGCAGCTAGGGCCGCGCCAGCTTCCTGTCTCCCATGAGCGCGAGCGTTTGGTGGACGCTGTTTTTCTTCGGGATTTTGGCCACACCACTTCACACGTCTCTTCTTGCCGTTATTTTCATGTTTTTGTAGAATTGTCTGCTCGCTGTTTTTCGAGGTGTATTCTCGCCTGCGATATCGATCACTCTTCAGGATACTCGGGAGCTTCTCCGACGGAGCGTATCTCAATCTTGTTCGCGCGTAGAAAAATGAGCCACGGGTGGGGCGCGAGGCACTCGTTTGGTAGCAATTCAACTTTTCCCGTACACACCATCATCTGATCCATTATCTTGTGTAAATAAACTTAAAATTATTTTCCCCGCGTCGCGACCAACTATTGTCAATCCTCGCCTTGCAGCAGGGAAAAAGCAGTCGGTCTCAACAGCAGCAGGAGCTTTGACGTGCACGATTTCCCTGCCTGATTGGGATACGGTTTCGGTCGGGCTGGTGGTGGAGCCGGATCTTGTCGGGGGTCACCGGTGACGCTGATACCGTGTAGTCGGAGGGAGCGAGGATCTTCTGGGCCAGACCCAAGCCGGGCGGGGGCAGCAGGAGGGAGCGGCGAAGGAGAGACAACGGCGTGAAGGACGCCGAAGCCCAGGAGCACTCGTTGTTTCGTTTGTGGTTTCAACCAATTGACCCCCTGTAACCTAGCCCCGCTCCCCCGCCCCCCCCGGACCCATGTTTTCCGCCGCAGATATGGTCAAGCCGGGCTTCATCTCGCTAGCCAGTTCATGCGGAGGGAAAAGGTTGCCCCCCGGCTCCCCTCGAGAACAAGGGCGTGATGTTCGTGGTGTATCGGCGCCTAAACGCCGGTCGCTCTCTATTGTTGGCCACCTTGTACGACGGGGAGGATACTTTGGTGGGGGTGGGCTTGTTTTTTTGTTTGAAGTACGGAGGAAGATACATCCCTTGAAATATCTGTGTGCGTGGTCGTGCAAAATTGGATAGCGTTGTTCGAGATTATCTGACACAGTTTGAAGGTGTCGTTGACGTCCTCGTTTCGAGTTGATAGCGGTGAAAAAAGCTGAAGTCGAACCCCGTCGTGATACGCACAACAACGCAGCATGGCGTAATGTCCGCGGGAAAACTCAGAATCTATATCGAGTGGGAGGTCACTAGAGCTTCGACCCCGCACCTAGTGCAGGCAGGCGCAACTGTAGGAATCTGCATTGCTTTGGCCCGGGGCGTGCGGTGCCCTTCACGTTGTGTCCCTCGTCTTTTTCTGGGGGGGGGGGTATTTGACGAATTTTCTCGCTCACCCAACGGTCAACCTCCAACTGACAATGACCTGCTTCAAAGTTTTGCACTCGCCATCGCCGCAAATCTCCATCTGTTCTGAAGAGGCTGTGAAGGCCACCGACGCGAAAGTCGCCCTCGCTGTATGGTCGGAATAGTCGCGACCCAGCACGTCAACAACAGCGCATTATTTATCTTCAGCATGTACAGCCCATCGTCGTGGACTGATTGATTATGAAAAGGGAACGCAGGGTTCTGGCCACTTCCGTCAGCATGACGCTGCCATGAACATCTTTTCATTGCGCTGCTTGACGGCAATGCTTTGCGTAGACGTGCTGACTGCGTGTAACATCCGAGACATACCGCATTCTCGTGAGTCCCGCCGTATTAGTGGTTCGCCGCACCTCTAGCACGCAGACACACAGGACTGGCGCGGTGCTCTTCACGCAGACACGCAACGAGAAACCCCAACGGTTATCAAGAAATGTTGTCTGAAATACATACGTCAGGAGGGGGGGGCAGCCCCCCCCTCCTATGTGACCCCGGTTGGGTCGTCTAGCTAGTAGAAGTGGAGGACAGGAGCCAGAGGGGCAGACGACAAACTCCAATAATGGGGAGGAAAAAGAACGTCGTGTGTCTCTCAACGTCGCTGCCTGTGTCTGCAGACATTCTGTGATGATGGTGTGCGGTTGCAATTCGGTTGGGCGCTTCTGATTACACGCACCAAGGTCCCTCGAGTACTTTTGTTTTGTCGTGTTGCATTCACAGCGTTTACAGCGCACAACATGTAGACAAAAATGATGCACCAAGTGTCGGTACCAGGTGCCAGGTTCCAGTCGGACAGTCGGCGGCAACGGCAGATAAGGAAATAAAAATCCGGGGGTATCATCTATGTCGTCAACAGACAATCCACGGACCCCATTTCTGGAAAGTTTTTTTTTTTTTCATGTTTTTTTGTCCTCCCATTTGTGCGTCTACAAGTCGCCTTGCCAACTCCTCGTCCGCGCCTGCCTGTGAACGCTGGTAAAAGAGAAAGCACCCTCGCCGCCGTGCACCCCTACTAAGTGAAGCGAAGCGAAGAGAAGCGAAGAGAGCAGTGGTTTCAAGAGTTAACGTTGAGCCCATTTCCACATCAACTGTGATCGCGCTCCTGCACCCTGAAAAGGTGAGAGCGTATTGACCCTCCCAACATTATGGTCGCCGACGGCACCCGAAGAGATGACGAGTTTGGCAAAAGCCAGGTGGTGCGCACGCTGCGAACCCGGTCGAGGTCGCTTGATCATGCGCCCTGTTTAACCGTGTCCCGTGATCTGTGCCCATTTGTTGTTCGCGACGATAAAGAGAACATGATTGGCAGCGTGATTTACTTCTGTCGGAACATGGTAAACCATTGCAGTCTTGACCCCCGTGAGGGCGAATGCCATCCACGTAGCCACCTCCGATCAAGTCGTAGTCGGCGTCCAGGAATGACCTCGCGAACACGGTACCCTTGACCCACTTTTCGGCATCGTACCTTCCCAGGGCTACCCCGTGACTGCTGGCGTAAAGCGCTAACATCGACTGTATCGTAAATCTTCCAGACTTTGGCATTTGAGTAAATATCCAACAAGGTTAGGGACTGGCGACTGGTGTAGAAGGGTCGGGTTGACCGACGCGAGTAGAAACAGTGTAGCCATAACTGAGCCGCGAGGGGTGCCCGTCCAGGATGAGTAGCGTCAAACTGGCCAGCAGACAACCGATTACTCTCCGGCAAAGCATCGTCCACATTTATTCCTGCTACGCACGGGGAGAGGCCGGCGCGATTACATCAAGCAATCATCAGAAGGCACAATCAGTTTTTTCGAAGGCGCTCGGGTTCCTTCGGGTACAATCTTCTGCGATACGACGACCAGGATACGGCTTTCTCTTGTGATGCACAACATCTGGCCCTTCTTCCGCGAAACCATTTGGTACCGATCATGTAGAACTTGTCTAACAACAACCCCATGCCACCTCGCGGGTATTGTCCCCATGGCCTTCAAAGCAGAGGGTACACAGCATATTTTCCGGTCACTTGAAGCATTTTTCCCGGAGCTTTTCGTCACTCGTTCTTACACAGCTCTTATTCTGTAGTGATGGTTTGTCTCGGAGGGTTTCTCGAAGATAATATCTGGGATATGCGAAATGTGTGGGGTGGGGCTCTGCTGAGCTCCCGGAGGAGCGAGGAGTACTACTGTCTCCTCGAACACAAACTTTCACAAAAAGCATGGGAGAGACGTCCCTGCCGATACAGGGATAACTCTGTACCTATATTCAACACTCACAGAGAGATTCTTAGAAGTAGCGAACTCAACGGCCGCACTGCTCACGCGTTTTCAATCTCCGCCAAGCAGGGGGTCTGTGCGACCACGGATCAGAGCGAACGGCATGCGTCCAACGGTACGATGTCCAGCGCTTTTCGGAAGCAAACAAAAATAAAAATAAAAACACATCGTGACACCGCTTCGTTTGCCTGATTGCATCATCAAGTGGGATCACAAAAAAGTGCGTCTCAAACTGTTATCACTTCGTTCACTTCATCTGTAACCAACCAAAGATCACCTTTTCATCGTGAACCGTCCCTCCTAACCCTCACAGTTCGCGCCGTGTGTTCGCTCGCTCGATTCAGGAGTTTTTCTGGTATGCACACGATCTTCTTCTGGACCTTCATGTCTCTAGGCCTGGCGTCCGCCGTTGATGGACCCCATGCGACGACGGACATGCGCATCTCTACACCCCGCCCCCTAGACCGTGAGACATGACATTTTCTTGGGATGAATTGGCACGTTTGATGTTAACCCAAAGCTGGGTTTGGTTCCTGTGTCAAGCAGACACGTCTGTGTACGCTGTATCAGCAGCAGTATTCTCTAGGGTATGAGCGCAGAGGTGGAGCTACTGGCAGTTTACCAGTGAAAGAGTCCCTTGACGATGTGTTGAATTGTTTACATTAATAACCATTCCGATCTCTCCACCAAGTACCCTCTTTTGTCCGTACTGATCACGCTCGACAAATAAACAAGAATGACCCAGAGGGCCCGCAAAGCATTGCAATTTAGACACAAATGGTTTGGAGCCTTCCGCTCCCCCCGACACGCTATGTGGGGTACGAAATAAAATAGACCACAAACACAAACAATAACTGGTAAAGTCAAGACGTCATCCCGCCCACTGATTCTGTATTGGTAACCCCTACACTGCCAGGGTATTCCATGCCGGGTTGACGCCGGTTGGGCAAACAAATCGAGTCCTCCATTCCGATTACCGAAAGCACGCAGACGTGACGAGA